AACTTTGCTGGAGGTTTGCGCGAGCAGACCACGAGGCAGCATGAGCTGTCGCGTGAACTGGCGTTTGACTCCTACGAACTACAGTTATGGCGTTGTCACGCATGCGTGGAACGCATGGTGGGATCGGTCTATTCGGACGAGACGACAAGATAAATAGAGATCGAGTCATGGCATCGTAGAAGACATTTTTCTACATTAGTCGCGGAGAAGATAAACAAGCTGCACGCTGAAAGTTGTGCAACGAAACTATACACGGTGCAGTCGGCGTATATCATTGAACTTTATTTTATTTTAGAGCGCAGCTCTTAGGGGCCCGTTCCCGGCTTGAGCGGCGTCGGCGTCGCCGTGGGCGTCGGCGTAACCAAGGTCACGTGACCCCTCCAGGTCACGTGACCCCTCCCAAGGTCATCTCAAGGTCACGTGACCCCACGTGACCCTTGGGGGTCACGTGGGGTCATCTTGGGATCACGTGACCCCTCGAGGTCACGTGACCCCTCCCAAGGTCATCTCAAGGTCACGTGAACCCAAGACACCACGTGACCCTTTGAAGGTCACGTGACCCCCAAGTCACGTGACCCCTCTGAGGTCACTTGATCCCCAAGGTCACGTGACCCCTCCCAAGGTCATCTCAAGGTCACGTGACCCCAAGGTGACCCCCACGTGACCCCCCAGGTCACGTGACCCCTTTGAGGTCACGTGACCCCTCTGAGGTCACGTGACCCCCGAGGTCAGGTGACCCCCCGAGGTCACGTGGGGGTCACCTTGGGGGTCACGTGACCTTGAGGTGACCCCCATGTGACACCCAAGGTCACGTGACCCCCAGGTCACGCCTCCCCGAGGTCACGTGACCCCCCTCGGAGCATATTAAAGAATGAGGGGAGGAGGAAGAGGAGGGGTCTACCCTCCCCTCAGTTCCCTTCACTCCTCCTCCTCAAGAGCTGCGCTCCAATTCGGCGTTACAGGGAGTTGTAAACGGCTTTCACTTTTTTTATTTAGAACATACTGCAGGCCAAAGACTGGCCCAAGCAGGAGTGGAAAGAACAAGTAAAATACAAATAAGCACTTTGGAAACCAAAAATAAAACACATCGATATACATATTCGAGGCATAACTATATCAATAAATACAATACAAGAGAGTGACGTGCAAAATACTAACATGCCAGGTTTTTATACAGAAAAAATAATCACATCAAAGAAAAATAACTATCAATGGCATCAGGAAAATCGGCAGCCTCAAAAACGCTAGAAGGAAGAGAGTTCCATTCCGAGATGGTGCGGGGAAAGAACAAAAATTTGAAACGATTTGTGCGTGCAAAGATTGGTGTTAATGAATATTGATTATGGTGCCTCGTAGGTCGTGTCATTAACGGGATGAGGTGATTGTGTGTGCCAAGCCGTAGATTGTTTTGTACCATATGAAATAAAAAAATTTTAGTCTGGAGAGCTTCCTAGGCAGCTCAAGTGTAGCTATGCCATTCGTTTTCATAAGATGTGATGGAGAGTCTAATCTTTTAAATTTTCCATAGATGAATCTAACCGCGCGCCTTTGAACCATTTCCAGCTTTGAAATGTTCTTTTTTGTAAAGGGATCCCAGACAAGGCTGGCGTATTCAAGTTTCGATCGCACAAAAGTGTTATAAGCTAAAAGTCTCACACTAGATGGTGTTTTCACTAGTTTGCGCCTAAGGAAACCAAGTTTATGGAATGCAGATGAGCAGGTGTTATCGATGTGTGTATCCCATGATAGAGTCTTAGAAATCGTCAATCCTAGATACTTATACTCTGAAACTTCGCGCACAGGGGAGCTACAGATATTGTAAATAAAATCCTGTCGAATTTTTTTGTTGGTAACCCGTAATAAAACCGTTTTTTTTAAATTTAATTTCATTTGCTACTCGGCACACCAATCTGCAATTTTTGAAAGTGAAGAGTTTAATGCATACTGGTCGGATGAGCTTGTTATATACTTGAACAGAACACAATCATCCGCAAAAAGTCTAATGCTTACACTTTCATCGATGACTGATACAATATCATTAATGTATATTAGAAATAACAAGGGCCCCAGAACGCTGCCCTGGGGTACACCCGAAGATACACGCAACTCATATGAAAATTCCCCACCAATATCAACGAACTGTTTACGCCCTTGTAGGTATGATTTAATCCATTTAACAAAAGGAATCGGAAGATCAATATTTTCTAATTTAAATACTAATTTTCTATGAGGGACCCTGTCAAAGGCTTTACTGAAATCCAAGAAAATTACGTCTACCTGACCAGATTTATCGAGACTAGTGGCGAAGTCGTGGACCGTGGTTAAAAGCTTGAGTTTTGGTGGAAAACCCCTTTCTGAAACCATGCTGGAAGGGAGATAAAATGTTGTGATCCTCCAAAAAGGAAGAAATGAAGTTTGAAATAATATGCTCCATGAGTTTGCAACATGTACATGTGAGAGAAATGGGACGATAGTTTGTTAGCGATAATGGGTCTCCTTTCTTGAATACAAGGACGACACGTCCTAAGAGCCAGTCATTCGGAAGCACACTGGTGATAAACGAAGTTTGAAATATTATTGTCAAAAAACGTGCCAGTGACTCTGCGTACCGTCGAAGAAAAATATTTGGAATCTTATCGGGGTCCACACCAGACTTCGTTTTTAGGTTTAACAGCATTGACAACACACCTTGATAAGAAATAAAATCAGCATTCATGGGTGACAAAGAACCGCAACATTCATACTCGTCTTTTTCTCCAAAAACTGACTGAAAATAACAGTTGAAATGCTGAGCAATATCTTTTTTTATCTGAAACAAGAATGTCATTTGTCATAATGTTTTCAACAGGATTATTCTTGTTGGCCAGGTATCTCCAACTTTTTTAAGGTTTTTCTCTCAGAAAAACTGACAAATCATTTACAAAGTAGCATTCTCTAGCCTGTGCAACCCTGCTGGTTAACTCAGTCTGTAACTGACGTACCCTTTCGGGATTGCATTTACTTTTTCTCATTCTTTTTAGTCTACGTTTGAGATGAATGATGTTTCTATCAATCCACGGATTGGTTCGTTTTGGTGACCTTTGTTTATTAGGATTGAAGTTGTCTAAAAAAAAGGAGCACATAAGCTTAAATCTTTGCCATAGAACCGATACATCGGAATCATTTATTTGGAAGTCAGCAATCGCCGAATCTAAATATTGAAGAACACTGTCATCATCAGCACGACTGAAATCTTTGACAGTCGTCACTGTGGGTTTTTTATTGGCTGGAAGCGCTACCAAAGAGCAGCAAAAGTATAGTAACTTGTGGTCCGACACACCATCTTGAACACTAACATGGCAGTCAGAAAATTCATTCGTTACGAAAATTAGGTCTAAAAGCGAACTACTTAAGCCCTGGACACGTGTAACCTCTGTTACAATCTGTGATAAATCACATGCAAACATTATGTCACAAATTATCGTTGCATTTTCAGTGGATGCATTTGAGAGACTCGTCCAATCAATATCTGGGAGATTAAAGTCGCCAGAGAGGATAACATTGTTATTTTGAAATCGTAGTAAATGATCATACAACCTTAGTAAAAAGTCAGTGGGTGAACTTGGGGGCCTATACACAGCACACAAAATGACACTTGAACCGCACCACATTCACTTTAAAGGGTAACTCCAAAGAAAAAAAAGTTTTTTTTGAATAGCCTAATTGGGACAAGCATGTCAAAAAACAATTTTTCCGCGAGAGAAAAAAATTTTTACAGCAATATTTATTGCGTGAGACTCATTTTAGTTTGCGGCTATTTCGTCCGTTTTAAATCGCGCGCCACGAAGTTGTGATTATGTGACGTCAATCCCAACAGGTTCTCATTGGCTAAGAGTTTGATTGACAGCTTTGGTCTTGGTTGTTAAACCTTTGTTGTATGCTGCAATTTCCTTTTGAGCGGCATATTTTTACGTTTAAAGAATAACCCGTGTAATGAGAGTCATCATTTTTTGCAAAAGGTTTACAGGACGGGCACTTCCGTTTGAATTCATACCATAACAAACAAAAGCTCCGCCATTCTTTTCGTGGCCGCCGAAGCAGCCGACGTCTGCTCCCGGCTGTCGCGCGTAGTTCGTTCGTTTCGTCTAAGTGAGTATTTCGTGTTGACCCAGGTGCTTGAGTAAGACATCCTGAAGTGAAGTGGTGTGTGTTTAGCAGCTGTCGCAAGTTTTAGTGATAGGAATCGACGCGGGTTTATTTTTATAGCGCAGTTTGTTACTTCCGTTTTCCTGGGTCAACTTAGCTTTCTTAACCTGTTTTCTTTTTTTTTTTTTTTGTTGCTTGCGCGTGCAAATGCCGACTCTTTTGAGATGTCAGTTCCTGCAAACCGGCTCCGTTGCTCTGTGAAGAATTGCCGGATTAGTGATCGCGACAAGGAGTCTTCCAGCAGCCGTGTCGCCCCGAAAGATGACAAGCTGAATGCTATTTGGCTGGAGGCAATCGGGCGCTCGCGTAGCGACAAACATGTCCAGGTATGTTCGCGTCACTTCGCTCCGGAGGCCTTCGAGATTCGCACCCCGCTCACCGAACGTCCACGACTGAGACGTGGGGCGGTCCCGACGCTATTCCTACCGAGTGCAACAGCAGCAAGTGCTGCATCATCGGTAAGTCAAACTTCTAGAAATAATTGCTTACTACCTACGCTAAGGTTTCTGGTGGCGCATTGTCTCGTTTTAGAACTGTTCTATTTTATCCGAAAATTGTTGTAACGCTGGTAAGCGAGTTTCAGCTCAGAAGTTAATATTTTGCATCCAGCAATTACAAACATCCTAAATCACTGTGGCCAGTGATTAGCACCTGCGGGTACGGGCTACTTTCCTTCAGTGTTGTTTACCCACGCCACCAAGAATTGATTGAAGAAATATCAAAAATTTAGAACGCATTCTCTTCTGTGCAATCCAACCAGCTGATAACCGGACCAACAAGGCTGGGGCCAGCACCTGTGCCTAACCGTGACAGCCAAGTTGGAAGCCCCTCTGCAGTGAGTTTTCTGCTGCCGCTATTTTGGTTCCCCAAAATTTAGAACGCATTCTGTTCTGTGCAATCCAACCAGCTGATAACCGGACCAACAAGGCCAGCACCTGTGCCTAGCCGTGACAGCCAAGTTGAAAGCCCCTCTGCAGTGAGTTTTCTGCTGCCTGCTATTTTGGTCCCCAAAAATTTTGAATGCATTCTCTCCTGTACAATCCAACCAGCTGACAACCGGACCAACAAGGCAAGCACCTGTTCCTAACCATGACAGCCAAGTTGGAGGCCCCTCTGCAGTGAGTTTTCTGCTGCCGCTATTTTGGTCCCCAGTGTGCATGTACATTAGGTGTAAGCTGCACATTTCACTATAATTTCCTCTGCACTTAGCAACTGACAGAACCAAGCAAAGACCAAGCGGCTGCACCTGTGAATGACTGTCAGTCAAGAAGCACATTCAAGTGCTTGAAACCGTGGCATTTGTTTGTAGGCTGTCGGATGCTCTCCTGTTCAGCTGACTATGTGTACAGTTGCTACTGCATGCAAGAGATTTAGACCATACTTAGTACTTCTTGCAATCTGTGTTGTAGGCTCACTGCTGCAGGTGCTCTGCTCCTCGTGCAACTGTTGGCACACAAACAGAGGCGACAGATGCAGACACTGCAGATTCTGTCATACCCGTGTGTGAGTATAACTGAATACTTAAAGTACGGTGTTTTAGGAATACATCGCAATCTCGGCAGCATTTCATGCCAACTTCTTACTGAGCTTAAGTTATGTGTTCTATCTCCAGCTGCACAGGTCAACCCTGGGTGCAATGCGGCTGCCCCCCACCACAACCAGGCAGGAAGTCCTCAGGAGCACTTCCGAGTCCAGTGCAACCTGCCACAGCACTGCAAGCTCGGCTACCTTCGCCAATCCCGAGCACGACCTCCAGCCTGCGAGCCCCAGACCAGCTCAGCTGTGACGTTCAGGACAGCCATCGCAGGTCCACGCCTATACCACCTGACGACGACCACAGCGCGTGGCAGGTAAGTCCCAGTGTACAGCTGGATAGGCCTTGGATTGCAGGCAAAGATGGGGACGTGGAGGATGCGTCAGATGACCCCTCAGACAGTGACATGGGCACCAACGGAAAGAGCGACATGAGCACCGACATGGAGGAGTCTGACATCCATTTCGAAGCAGAGAGCAGCACTCACCCAGGTGAGGAGCTGCACATGCTTCAAAGACAATGAGATGGTTACACCAGAGGGGACCATCCCATCGGACATTTGTTTTTGGTGCCCCCACACCACAACCAGGCGGAAAGTCCCCAGGAGCGCTTCCCAGTCCAGTGCAACTTGCCACAACACTGCAAGCTCGGCTACCTTCGCCAGTCCCCAGCATGACCTCCAGCCTGCGAGCCCCGGACCAGCTCAGCAGTGATCTTCACGAAAGCCGTCGCAGGTGCACGCCCATACCACCTGAGGGTAATCACGGCGCAGGACAGGTAAGCCCCAGTGAACAGCTGGATAGGCCTTCGATTGCAGACGATGGTGAGCTGGAGGACACCACGGACGACTCCTCAGACAGTGACATGGGTTCCGACGGAGAGAGCGACACGAGCACCGACATGGAGGAGTCAGACATTCGTTTCGAAGCCGAGTGCGGCACTGACCCAGGTGAGGAGCTGCACATGCCTCAAAGAGAATGAGATGGTTCCACTAGAGGGAAACAGTCACACCGGACATTTCTTTTGGTGTGATGGTCTGAGACGAAAGCTTGGCCCTCACTTAACATTCAAAGATGTCTGTCAGAGGGATGCCAACTCGGAAGTGTGTCCATACTATGCTATGCAAACTCATGACCGTTTCAAACGTCCTTACATTGTAGACCAAGATATGGACGAGTCTGCTGGCCCTGGTGAACCCGACACCACCTACGTGCTTTCTGCAGACGAAAGCTTCATGAGGTAGCACTTTTAGGGAAGTTCAAGTGTGTGTTACAGTTGAATTTTTATTTTCAGTGACCGTGAACAGGTGCCACCCCAGAAGGAGCGCAAATTTATTGTATTTGAGGGTTGCCTCCTGGAGCTCTTCAAAGTGTGTCGCACCTGCCTTGCCACTTGCCGCAACAACATCGTAGTCCAGGACACTCAAGTGAAGATAACAAGCACCTGTGCACAGAACCACGTGGAGCGGTGGTGGAGCCAACCTCAGGTGAGTGGCAAAGCAGCAGGCAATATCTTGATTTGTGCGGGAATTCTGTTTTCAGAAGCCCGTGTTGCGACTACCCTGCGGTTGCTCAAGTCCATCAACGTCGCAACAGTCTCGGAGCGCACCTTCCACTACTACCAGCAGGCTTACCTGCTGCCCTCTGTGAAGCAGGTTAGTTAGTATAGGAAGGGGTTTAAAAATAAAAAAATGGCATAGCATAACTAACTTACAAGACATAATTGTTTGCCAGGTGTACAAGCGGCACAACTCTGAGTTTCTAGAAGGACTCCAAGGAAAGACCATCGACCTAGCTGGAGATGGGCGCTGCGACTCGCCAGGGTTTAGTGCAAAATATTGCACTTACAGCTTCCACGAGGCGAGCACCAAAAACGTCATTCACATTGAGCAGGCGCAAGTCGGTGAGGTAAGATTTACTAACCAAAACAAAAGGCCTACTCTGCATCACACACCCCTTTGTTTACAATAATTAGAAATCATCCTTATTGTCTCTTTAAGTGTGATATTTCTAAGAACCTTACAATCAGACTGCAGTACGGTGACTGTTGTACTAATGAATGCATACACATTGTGATCAGTCAGAGGAGGTGCCCTCCAGCAACGCCATGGAAAAGGTGGCCTTCGTCCGTGGCTTCACCAAGCTCAAGAAGGAAGACTTCACCATTGGCTCTTTCATCTCGGGTACGTGAAACTTTCAACATAAGCTACTCACCTAACTGTTTTTTTCTGGCTCTCTGTAAGGTTAACCAGCTATCTGTTATTTGGTGTTCATTACAATAGAAGCCCTTATATGCAGACCGTCACCCAGGCGTTGAGCACCACATGAGGACCGAAGAAAGGGGCACAAAGCACTACTTCGACACATGGCACATTGACAAAGGTTGGTTTCCCGATATTTCATTTTATTTACTGATAGGCAGTGACTAATTGGACAATCCATGGTCAAAATAACATAAATTACTTTTATGTGTATGACGGTGATTCCAAAGGGCGTGCACCCGCCAAAATAGTTTATTTATTATTGTGACCTCCTTCGTAGAAGTATTGTTGTTCTCACTGGATGTAATGGAACAAAATTGATGCGTTTTTCAACACAAAAGGGCATTTATACGACCTGTACGCCAACGGCGTTGTCGAACACTTTGCTTACAGACAGCGAAACGGAACCTTTGAACTGTGGTTCGAATCAAGACTGGGCATTAGTATAGAGATAATCAAACGTTGCTTTTCATAGATTATTTCACAGCAATTGTGAGTCACTAGTGTGAATAGTTGCTCCTTGGTGCTGTTATCGCCGTGGGAATGAGAACGAGACCAAACATTGTACGCCTGAACCCATACCCAGTCTGTTGCACAGGACACCAGTCAAGAAACACCTTGCTTACATGCAGAATAAGACGATACTCAAATTAAACTTTGTTTCTTAAATTTACGAGAGAACAACAGTTCAAAATCCATGCACCACCCGTCACCTGTCGAACTCTGGAGCACAAACCATACACATTGCAATCTTGAGCACACACCACACACGTCGAACAGAGAATGATTTTTTTTCAGGTAGAACTTGCGAAGCACCGCGCCTTGCAAAGAGCGTAAAAGCTGACATGATACCTGAAGCTGTCAAAATATTAATTGAAAGCTATTTGCATGTCTTCAGGAAATAATATAGTAGACTTAGTTTGTTCACAGTCATTGAAATAGTCACGGCCGTACCTGACTACCCGACAAATTTCTGTATGGCAGTGGACACTTCTGACGTATAGCTAACAATTGTACACTTTTCCAGGCTTGAAGAAGAAGCTCCAAGCAGCAAGCCGAAAGAGCGAGTCGAGGGAACTGCAGGTGTGGGTGCAGCCAATCACGAACCACCTGTACTACTGTGCAGCGCTGGGTGATGGCAACGGCCCACTCCTAGTAAGTATGTGGCTCAGCTTACTGAACCACGTGGTGGACAAGCACGATGGCCACGACGGACCGTTCAGCGAGTGCCTGCACCAGCCACTTTCTGACCGTGCATGGTTGACTGAGGGTAAGTTCATTTCTCGGTTCCTTGTCCAGGACACCCCTCCTGCGCTTCTGATGTAGGAGAAATATAAATACTTCTGAATGGCGTCCGTCATAGCTGTGTGCTTATTCCAGGAACCCCAGCGTACAACGAGCTCCGGAGCATTGTTTCAAGCCCGCGGCTCCCCAAGGACATCAGGCATCTGTCCCCCGGGTCCCAGACATCCTCCGTGGAAGCTTTTAACAGCGTACTGATTGGGTTAGCCTCCAAGTCTCGGGCATTTACGCCAGAAGGAATGGAAGCGAGGTAAACAACTCTTCTAATTGAATGACCATTCCTGGCATGGTGGCCTGCAGCCGATTCTGAAAACAATATTTAATGAAAAAAAAAAATCCCTAATGTTCTTTTCGTGGAATTAGCATGATAGACATGTGCAGTACAAGGTCACTCAATGGCAGTTGAGAGCGCCCGTGAAACTAGGATAATACGGAGTCTATACTTTCTTCCTTCAAGTGTATGTATACATTTCGGTCTCCACATTGGAACCAAGTTCTTTTGTATAAGCACCAGCCCATATCTTGTCTGTTTTCACTGCAGAACCCTGGTTGCTGTGCTGCACTACAATGAAAACGTTGGGCGGGAGCAGGCCACAACCCGGGAAGGAGTACGGCGCTTCATGGTCGTCACGTCCAGAGCACGGAAGGGCCATTCCACAGCACGGCCAATCCCAAGCGACGCAACGTTTGGTATGTTATTGCTCCTTCGTTTGGGGACAAAACAGTGACACAAGATTCTGTCTTTCAGAGTACCGTGATGAGCTCATGGATGAGGTCATGACCTGCCTGGAAAAGTGGCCGACCCTGAGGGAAGCCCTCGAGGCGAATGTGTCGCAGCATCTGCCACCGATGTGTGCCAGGTACCCGAGGCCCCCCAAGAGTGACCTGATTGCGGCCAGACGATCCCGCTTCAGCTTTCATGCCGGGTGCGTTAACACAAGTACCGAATGTTTTTGATAACAAGACAGCCTTGTCAGTAATAAATATGTCAATAGCCTAGCTACCTCTTGATCCAAGGGATGGTAGATTTTACAATAGCCTTCAGCTGCATTATTTTTATCTGTTTTTGTTGATAATTGGCAATACAAGCATTTTTAGCTGTTGCTAATATTTAAATTTTCTCTGCAGATCGTCTCAGGACCAGTCCTGAAGCACCTTTGGTTCCACGCAGCCAAGTCTGCGCCTCAGGCATGAGGTAGGTAACGGGTAACGCGTAGTGAAGCAATCATTTTCCTCCTGCGAGTTTCAGGTGTGCCCTCCGTGCCGCAACGTTACCCTGAGGCATATAGAGAAATGTGTCCTCTGCGGGTACATTTTTTTGCTGCGATTTATTTAACTAAACTGCATTGCTGTTTCATTGTTCCTTTCTTTGCAGTGCAAGTAAGTGCCTTTGTGCTGCTTGTCTGTGTGGTGTTTTTGTATTTCAGAAGCACACGTAGGTGCTCTAGTCGCTCTTCTCCACGTGACCGAGTCTCTGCTCGGGCATGAGGTAGGCAACGTGTAGGGAAATGATTTTTTCTTTCCTGAAAGTTCCAGGTGTACCCTCCGTGCCGAAACATTGCCCCGAGGCATAAAGGAAATGTGTCCTGTGCGGGCTCAATTTTAATTTTTTTTCTTGCGATTTGTCGAAATATATTGCATTTAACAGTTCTATCTTATTGTTACTTTTGCAGTGTGGG